AAAAGCCTGGACTACATTTGTTGCAGTTGTCAGAAATTTTCTAGGCAAATGCAAAGCTGAAAATTATGTTGAACTGATAAACGAGATGCTTAACAGTTTCAAATTCCTTGGGTATAATATGAGTATTAAGGTGCACTATTTACACAGTCACTTAGACCGTTTTCCTGAAAATTTAGGAGACACCAGTGAAGAACAAGGTGAAAGATTTCACCAGGATATTAAAACTATGGAGGACCGCTACCAAGGAAGATGGGATACGCATATGCTGGCAGATTACTGCTGGAGTTTAGAAAGGGATTGCTCCAAAATACATTCACGAAAGTCATGGAAATGAAGCTTCCTCAACGTGTAACTGTTTAGTTTTATTGATGACTTTTTCCTCTATCTTTATATAGAATAATATTTGCATAATATAAAGGGATTGCTCCAAAATACATTCACGAAAGTCATGGAAATAAAGCTTCCTCAATGTGTAACTGTTTAGTTTTATTGATGACTTTTTCCTCTATCTTTATATAGAATAATATTTGCATAATATAATAATAAAAATTTCGTGTTTAGTTTTTTACTTCATCCATGGATTTAACTTAAGATATTGAAACGTATATTTCGCTATAATGCTATATCTTAAAAATTAGAGCTCCTAGGCAAAAACTGATGTCATATTTGAATTCAGGACATCAAATTCATATGAAATCAGCTGAAAATACCTGGGCACCAATACTGTTGACTTGTGTTATTTACATAAAAGTTTTCATAAATCGGCGAATGAAACTCGTCTTAACACTTCGATAATAATGGCATGAGAACGCCAAATTGCTGACTAGNTTGTTAAGAAATCCTAAAAATAGTCAGCTACTTTATAGACCTAATAGAGCAGGAGAAACACCTTATAATATTGATACTAATCAGCATAAAAGTATTTTGGCCCAAATTTTTGGTGCTCGTAAGTATAATTTTATGCATAATATTAAATGTAAAATTAAATTATATCATGCAATATATTTAAATAAAAATATTATATATTTTTAACTTGTATCTTTTCAAGAAGAAATTAACATGTCATAATTTTAATTAGATTTTTTAAAATACATTCTGAATATATTATTCTGATTACATAAATTTATAATTTAACTTATTTTATGATATTTTTTAAAAATTAGCAAATATATTAATAATAATCTCATACTATATAGAGTACAGTGCAAGATAAAAGTTTAAGACTACTTATGATTTTCTTATTAAGATTCTGTGGGAAAGTCATAACTGAATGACTAAACAAAGCATACAAACATAAATTTATTTTAATAAGTTTCACTGTTTGTTTTTAATATGTTTACAAAAAAAAATAAATTTAATTTTTTTTTCTGTAATAATACACTGGACAAAAATTTGAGACCAGCTTTACAAATTAATATAAATGTTATAAATAAAATAAAACTATATTTATAATAATCACAATACATACATAGAATTTTCAGAGATGACAGACATTCCAGAAGGAATATTATTTCAAGCAGAAATTATGCCTCATTGAGTTCCTTGATGTATGCAAAATTAACCCAGAGATTATTGTATTTAGATCAGACTAGTTTCTGGCTATTTCAATTTTTCAATGTTGTTCTTTGTTAACTATTCCATAGTCAAATATGTACCATGGACCGTTTTAGCAAAATAATGTACCATTATATTGCTAAAGTGTAAAGTTTGCATTCTTTAGCTTGTCTCTTAATAGCAAAAGATGATTTCCAAGAATGTTTTGATGATGATCAGTGTTTCCTCTTGGAAAAACAAATGCCAAACTTGATTTTGCTTGTGCTATAGAAGCACACCAGATTGTAATTAAACCTCCACCCTGAATTGGATGAGAAAGCAGCTGTGTGTCTTTTCAAATGCCATGCCAAAGCAATGACGTTTATCAGAACCATCAATATTAAATTTTTCTCATCACTAAAGACAATATTTTCCCAAAATTTATTGTTTGAAACATGTCTTTGCAAAAGTGAATCTGACCAGCAAATGTGCTTTTTTTGTTTTGTTGTGGTTTTTATTTCATTTTCACATGCTGAAAATCATCCAATGTTACCATTATTCTGAGTAGTTCTTGAGCTAACTGGAAGGACCAGTTGTTTTGTAATGTTTGCAGCAGACTCATTTGTGGTGCATGCACATCTCAAAATCATTCGTTTGCTCTGGCAGATGACTTTGATGGTCATCCTATATATGATTTCCATCTATAATTGTCAGGATCTTTTAAATAATTGTGAATAACTGTTTTGGTTCTGTTTTGGTTGCAATAATTTTGCAATTTCATATTCTGCTTTTCTATTTTGGTGGTATGTTAATTTATTCCTTTTTCACAATCAGTTAACACTTGAAAGGGTTGGGGCAAGATAATGCCAAGCCACATTTTTGGACAAATTGAACTAATCATGCCATCTACATGTAAACACAGTAGGCCAGAATGTAGATTCAAGAATTTCCTGAAAATGCAAATAGATAATGGTATATGACATTTAGCTTCATATTGGCCCAAACAATTCTGGAAGTTTCTGACACCAAGACAGTGTCAATCATCAATCATTAGAGGCAGTACCTTGGCAGATAGGTCACAAATTCAGTTGAATAATGAATCAGGCGATTTGTCAATCAATGAAGACATGGATTCTGATTATCAACTGCTAGGCACTGATGTTTCAACTACAAAGAGTTAAACTGAGGTAAGTATGGCTTGGCATTTTCTTTATCCTAAAATATGATGATCTATGTTTCATCTGCAGGCACTCGCTTCTTTTTCACAAATGAAATTAATTTTTGATTGTAATTTTAGTAATCATGATCATTTGCATGAAAATGATTTAGATTTTGTGATTAGATTAACATTAAGTGTTTAAAGAAAACAAATGCAACTTGGCACTGTTTTCCCCATATTTACAAAACCTGACTACTGACTTTTTCCTCAACACTTAAATATGTATGGTCTATGTCTGACAGTCCTAAGTATGAAGGTAGTTATAAAACTCACACACATACTCACTACATTTTGTCTTTTCAGGCTAATATGCAAGAAGCCAAATTTCTTAGTGTTACAAGATCTCTACTTAGTTGAAGAGTTATTATATGAAACTGTCTTTTTTTAAGTTATTTTTAGCTAATTTCTTGTGTGTTCCAGTTTTTTTTTTTTACTTTTGTTATTGTTCAAAAAGCAATAAGGTCCTTGATCCATAGATATCACATAAAGTTATAAGTTAATACAGTAAAGCGTCGATTTTCCGAATCAATTGGGGACTGGGGTTGTCCGGATAACTGATATTTCGGATAACTGATTTACGTACGAAAAAATAGTTTAACGTATCTGAAGTCAAAATTTTTCTCCGTTGCGTGTCGCTTCGCGTTGAATTTTTGTCGATGTTAAGCCTAACGAAGACTATTGTTTCGTTAAAAATTATTTTTTTATTTTGTACAAACAAAATAAATATATTGAAAAATATGAAAATAATAAAAAATTATACCTCAGATGTTAATTTAGTATCAAAAACGTAAAATATTTGAGTAGCCCAAGACATAGCCAAAGATTGAAGCGCCACAGCACTGGCGAAAATTTAAATTTGCCGACTGGAATTCTTTCAGATGATTGACTTTTGGAAAATCGACGCTCTACTGTATTTATATTATTTTGTATATTGTATATTGTAATGTTTTCAAATGAAATTTACGAATAAATGCTGAAAAATACATACATGCTCCAATACTCCAATGATTGTTATTTTTTAGGTTCAAACTAGTGCCAAGCTAAAAAAAGCTGATACAGTGCCTCTGAAAAGACTTCAACATGAAGTATGTGTTCCATAATTCTTCATAAATCATGTTCTCATTCAGGAACTTTAAAACAACAAAAAAGTTGAAAATACACATTGGTTACAGAATGTGATTTGGCAATTTAATCAAACTTTAAAACCATATTCTCTTGAAATAGTGGAAACGAGGCTTAGCACTATCTTCTCCTGACTCATTTCATTTTGAAATAAACAGAAAGAATATCTAAATTAGTTAGCACAAATAAACTATGAATATTTTCTATTAAAAAAATATTCTAAGTAATTTCAAACTTTTGTTCCAATATATTATTACAGAAGAAAATCATATCCTTGTATCAGTTCTTGATTTTCATAATTTTACAATTGTTTTTCTTTTCATGTTTTGTTTTTTGTTATTCTTGGCACTAGTTTGAACCTAAAGAATAACAATCATCATATATTGGAGTATTGGAGCATGTATGTATTTTTCAAATAGTTCAATATCTACATTTCAAATATTAATTTATAGTTTGTTACTTCATATATTTGTGAAAAAGAAAGTTGTTCTAACATTTAGATTTTAACACAAATTTTTAATTATCACAATATAATTTTTCATCATTTTAGGCAGATTAAATACAAATGAAGACAATGAAAATTTATTGGGGTATGATTTATACGGCAGTGCTTTAGCTGATATTTTAAGTGAACCAACTTTATCTATGCCAATTTGTGTTGGACTATATGCAAAATGGGGCAGCGGAAAATCATTTTTACTTAATAAACTTGAAGGTAAATCTAAATAATAATTTTATAAGACTTAACTAATCTAGAACTAATTCGTTGTAAATTAATTTATCTTGCAGATGAAATGCGTAACTTTACTTTTCAACGATTAGAACCAACATTTGAATTCTCCTGGCTTGTTAATTTGCTGTTGTTGTTGTTATCATCAACAGTTGGTTTTATTTTAGCATTTGCTTCTGGTATGTGGATTGTTGGTTTATCTGTGGGAAGTGGAATTTTATTTATGTCATATGTATTTTTTGGTAAGTAAATTCTTAATTATATGATTAATCTGTTTTAAAGTAATAGTTATTCAACTTACAAAATTATTAGCAAAACATTTTATATTTTGATTATAGAATGTTTACTTATTTATTTACTTTCAAATGAATACAGACAAAGCTTATAGTAAAAACAAAGAAAAATTCCACAGTATATAAAATAACATATCGTGATTAAAAAGACAATTATGAGAAGATGTTTATTCAATTTTTTTGTTAATGTCATTTTAAAAAGAATTATTACGTTAAAAATTTGTCACTTTTTCATAAAATTCATGAAAGTTAGATTTTCTGGTATATACCAATAAAGTTTAAGCATATATTTTCACTATTATTTATGCTAAAAGTTTTGAGTGTTTTCATTTTTTAATGAATTACAAAGATTTTCTTTGTGCATTTCTTTATAAATTTACAGATTATTGTTAATGTAATAATAATAAATTCAAGTTATTTTTAATTCTGTAAATAAATTATCATTTATACATTGTTAAATATTTAAAATATAGTTAACACAAAAATACAAAAAATTAATTAATAAATATTAAGTTTAATAGCTACAAGTTCAGCTATTAAGTGTTAGTTAAGTATTAGATGTAAATATTAAAAGTTTCAGTTTTTGATACTTTACAATTTTCAGTATGTAGTCTGTAACTCTATTAAATTTAACACATATCTGGCTAGATTTTCTGTAGTAGAATTGTCTTATGTATTAGGAATAACTGGTACATTCATTGAAGTGTTTAGGCCTATATAAATTAATGTTTCTGAGTTTTGTAAAAATTTTTTTTTGTTTATAAGGATGTATTTATGTTAAAATGTCATCAAATATTGTTTTTTAAAAATATAATCAATATTTTTTGTAATATATAAAAGTTTAAATTGCATTTTTTATGAACATTCAAGTTTCTTGGATATTTTAATAAACTTTGTTTACTAAAGAAATTGAAGAAAGAAATATATTATTTGTTATGAAAATAGCAAAATATGAATTAAATGTTGATAATGCAAATAAATCACTAATAATTTAAATTTTAGTGTAAATGTTGTGCAGGCCCATTGAAAGAAAGAAACCAAGTTCCATACAAAACATTTCTCTCTCAGTATTATCTAAAAATACTCAGACTTAAACTTAGTATATGGTTTTTCAACTTGCATAGAATCTTATAAGACTATATAAGTTGGGAACTGTATAAATAGAAAACTGAAAACATAATTAAAAGTTGATTTTTTATAAGAAGATAATAACTACCTCATTCAAAATATGTATTTAATTGATTTTGCATATGTTGAAAAAGTTCAGTTTTTGGTAGAAGTGATTGATGCATATAAAAGAATAGATTAATGTCAATGTCATAGTTTAACATTTATCAATATTATTAGAATAATTTTTAGAGAAATTCATTAATAAGTCAGTATAAGTGTTATTTTTTAAAATTTAATATTAAAATATAATATCATATTTATTATGAAATATATTTAATAATTGCATATTGATGAAAATTAATAGGTAAATACTGAAAATTTTCACTGATCTTAAATACATTTTTTTTAACAGTTATCATCACATTTGGTAATAAACTACATGATTGGGAATGGTCATTTAATGCCAGTGTATATTTTGCAGAACATTTATTAGCTATAAAAACTATGCTTCAAGTTATATTTTGTAATCCACCTGCATCTAGAAGAGATGCACATTTATCTCCTGTTAGGTAATTACTTTATTTGCAAGTATTTCATTGAAAACTAATTATTAAATTTGTTTATATTATAAATTTTTATATAAAATTAATTTATCTGCCCATCTAGGTTTCTTTTTACAGAACAGACAAAAGTTAGTAGTTCGGGAGAAGATGTATCTGTTGCGCAAATAATAACAACACTTTATTCTGCTATTGAACATGAATATGGATTTTTCACTACAAGGTTTTATAGAGTCTTTAAACCCAGAATGGGTAAGTTAATTTTTAAAAATTAATTATTTTTTCATTTAAGTGATTGTGAGAAGCCAGGGATTAGAGAGTAAAGCTCTAAACCAGGCCCTTTCCCGATGTCAGGACAGTAAGTCCCACTCAATTGTCACTGGATGGCTGTTTAATTGTATGCGTCTCAAGATTGTTAGATCTTGAGTACTGTTTTTCCTGACACCAGTTAGGATAGTTGAAGGTTGCATCATAACTCACAATTCTCATGCATTTTTGTTTTTATCGGAGGGCTGTATATCAAGTGGGTAGCGCCACAGGTAAGTTGATAGGGTGATCAGTTCAAACAATTGAAATCAATGCCAGTTTAACTAACTAACAAATTTAATAAACTAAAAGAAAAGTATGTAATACAAATATCCTGCTATATACTGACTAAAGCTAATATCTCAATTGACTGAGAGAGAGTACATGAATCTAACTTGGTCAAATACCTCTGATGAGCCGATGTCTTTGAGTCTAGTCTATGTGAAGTCTTCATCAGGTAAGGAGTCTTGTATGTAGATAAATTGGCTTGAAATGTGGCAAACAGGCCTTGGTCTATGGCTGCTAGGAGAAGGTTCATTTGAAGGATGGCGGGATGGGAGTCTTGGTCCATGAGCTTCTATGGTTGAGTCCACACCAAAGACCAGGTGTGCAGCCATTATATTCCAATCTGGTGTGGGAATTTGGTCTTATGACCATATGTTGTCTAGTGATGACACTTCAAATGTGTCATTGATGAGCTGGCTAGAGCTAGGTAGGAATTAGACTTGTTGTTCTCTTTTCATCGTGGAATTATTTAAGCCATTGATGTTCCTATGCATTAACAACTGAATAGTATTGACGATTTTGAATGATTGTTGATGGTTTGACTTAATGTTTACTCGTCTTTTATTTATCGAACTCATGGGAGATGAGAATACCATAAATCAGAAAAAACTTTTCTCCCACATCAGCGTTAATTGAACAATTAACTCCTGGATCTCACATAATAAATTTTAAACATTTTTACAATGAAACTTGTCTTTCATTGTAAATTAATGTTTTTTTTTTTTTTTTATAGAATATATATAGAACATATATATAGAATATAATTTAATTCTAAGTTACAAAAGATTATTATAAATATGTTCAAAAGATTATTTGCATTAATAAAGTTAAAATCAATAACAGTTCAATGATGTTTTAACATTTTAATAAATCAGTGAAAAAAATCTTTTTATTAATTTTCTTATTATTTATTTTTTTTAGTGTCTGGAAGTAATTGGAAATATCGAAGATTATGTTGTATTCCAAATGTTTTTGTGGCACTCTTCATAGTAGTTTCTATTTATATTTGTTGCATATTGCTATTAGTTTCAGGAATTCAACAGGATTTCAAAATTTATAAGATCACAAATAGCACTGAAAATGAATATCCTAATTATTATCTTATGAAACCAAGTGTTATTGCACTTGGATGTATTGTAGGAGCTGTTATATTAACAAATATTCATACATGGTATAGAATGATAATAACTTTATTAGTTTCAAATTATCGTCGTGTTAAACTTGTGACATCTCATACTAGCAGTTACCTAGAAAAACTTAAAAATGAAGTAGAAACAATGACTTTAATGGTGAGTTAAATATTGATTAAATAAAATTTCTGTAGCAGTTTTCAATTTAAAATTGTTGTATTAATTTTATTTTATTAAAGGTTCAGTGCATGGATGCATTTGTTGGACAACAGACAAGATTAGTAGTAGTAGTTGATGGTCTAGATAGTTGTGAGCAAGAAAAAGTGTTGAAAGTTCTGGATGCAGTGCATTTATTATTTTCTGATCCAAATTTACCATTTGTTACTATTCTTGCAATAGATCCACATGTTATCATTAAGGTAAGAAAGATTTGTAAATTTAATAATAGTTGAATAAATTATTAATGATTCTTTGAATATATTATTAAGGTATAACTAAGTTAAAATTTATTAAATCTATATAATAGTGCTTTTAGCATAAAAAATAAATATACAGTAGAGTGTTGTTTATCTGAAAGTTGGTTATCCAAAACATCGGTTATCCGAAAGAATTCCAGTCAGCAAATTTAAATTTTCACTAATGCTGTTGCACTGCAATCTTTGGCTATATCTTGGGCTACTTTAATATTTTTTTGTTGGTGTGTGTGTGCTTTAGCTGGCAGCACTGGCACTTTTGTGTGGTGTTTTTCTGAGGACTGTGTGTCGTGCTGAATCAAACAGTTTTGATACTAGATTAACTTCTAAAGTATAATTTTTAACAATACAATAGCCACGATTATTATTTTAAAAAGTTTACATTAGGCTTAACAGCGACGAAAATTCAACGCGAAGTGACATGCAACAGAGAAAAATTTCAACATGGGATAGGTTAATATATTTTTTTGTACATAATCGGTTATCCGAAAAATAAGTTATCCGAACAACCTCAGTCCCCAATTGATTTGGATAAACGATGCTCTACTGTATTTATATGTTTCAAAAGGAAGTTCTTTGGTAATTGAGAACAAATAATAGTAAAGTGTTAATGTGTGTTGTTATTTTTCAAGCTAATTGTTTTTTTTAATTAAAACATAACCATACAATTTTCTTCTATATACTTACTAATCATTCTTTTTGCAGTTAATTGATAAATTTACCAATTTATATGATACAGTAATCCCGCCATTTATGCAGTCTCTATTTACATAAATTCACTTCAGCATGGTTGAAAAATGAATAATAATCAACTTTGTGGAAATAAATGATAGTTACATGAAAAAGTGTTTTTTTTTTAAACAACAGTAACCTCTTATATAGATGTATATCTAGAAAAAAACTTTAGTCAAAACTTTTCTACACTAGTAAGAATAAAATACTGTATTTGAGAATATAAGATTCCTATTTTAAACAGTTTCCATGACTCCGTTTATGTAGTTTTCATTTATGCTCCATATTTCATGGAACCAATGATTTGTCCTAATGGAGGGATTACTGCATTAATATAAAATTCTTAATTTTTGTTAATTGTGAAAATACATTGATTAAATGTTTGCTTACTTAGGGGTGTATGTGTGTGTGTTTTTTTGTAATATTTGTATAAAAAATAAAGATTTTTAGTATTATGGATTTCTGATTATTTTTTTCAGGTTATTATTTATACACGATTTTTATTTTATAAAATATAATTAATATGGAATTAATTAAATAATAATAATTGCACAAAAAGTCATATTTAAATTACTATATGTATAATGACAAATTCAAGATTGCTATAGTCAAGCAGTTATATGGAAAAATTGCATTTTACTGCAAATACCTTTCATTGGCTTCTGAAATTTAACCTTAACAATAAAAACCATTGGCTGTGGATTAATACATTTTAGCTTATAAGCAGAAGCAATTTACTATTTTATATTTAGGAAAAAAATTAAAAGTTTTCTGAAAAAGTTTAATGAGTAAACATTTGCATTGCTCATAAAGTGTTTCTAGAAATTCTGGTGTTAAATTTTTTTCTTCAAGAATAATATAATTTTTTTACACTAAATAAAGAGTATTCTATAGGGATTTACTATTACTTGATCATAAACATGCTCTTTTCATTTTTCAAATATAAATTTAAACTAATTCTCATGGTGTTTAAAATAATTGGTATTTTCAAAAATAAAAAAAAGAGATAATAATAATAATTATTATTTTTTTAATTTTTAGACAATTTAGTTAAATATAAAAGTAGTTTTTAAGATAAACTATAAATTGGTCTGATTAGAAAAAGTAGTTAAAATTTTATATATTAACTTTTCTAGTATTAATTTAAAATAAATAGCATTTGTCATTTTTGTATATCATCTGGCTCTAAAATAATGAAAATTATTTATATATGTTTTATTATTAAATATTAAACTTTTTATAAAGTTTTTAAACATTTCTCTATGAATATAAATAAGAGTGTCATAACATAATAAAAAAATAATTTTTTTTTTAAACACATATATCAATATCTCTTATGAAGGCATGAGAACTTTGTATTAAAAATTTATGAAGTACAGAAAATTAAAAACTTAATAAACATTTTCAGTTTTTTCCATTGTTTATATAAGCTTTAATAAGCAAAATATAAAATTAATCATTAATATAATAAGAATGACAAAATAATAATAAAAAAACAGCTGTTTCAAAATGAGAAATTTAGTAATAATGATTTTGATAATTTATAAATGTTTTGAAGGAGAACAGGGATTAAAAGCAAAATGAAAAAGTTAGTATTGTATGAGGAGTTTTCTTGTTCAAAGAAGTTCCTGTTAGCAAAGCAAATTAGACAACTAACTTGCTGCCAATTCTTAAATGTTTGTATCCTGTTGTTAAAGATTGTAACAAGCATACAATATTAGATGAATTATATATTAATTAATATATTAATAAATATAATTTATAAATTTTAAGGTATACAATTTTTAATTGTTCTAACATGTTTCTGTAATGTCAGAGTCAATAAAATCAAATTTCTACTAATCATAATGGTATCACTCTGTTATTGTTATCAATTTAGATGACTCCCAAAGTGATTGCATTAAGTGAATTCTACTGTATAACAAAATAGTCAACTTATTTCTTTTCTTAGATTACATCATGCAAATTTAAATTTACAAGATGTTTCAGTTTGATATTCAATCAAACTTCATTAGAACCTGATGATAATCACTAATGCCTACATTCACAAATGAAGGATCAAAAATTAGAGTTAGAAGTTAAACAATAAGCATGTACTTAAAAGTAAAGTGAATAGTAATTGAGTAATTTCTAATTCTAACTCTTAATTCTTGATTTTGAATACAGCCTCAAGAGTGATCAAAAATATGTTTTCTATTAAATAACCTGCTGATTGGAAATAAGTTGGTTTTATTACTTTTTTAAACTTGAAAATTTTAATAAGTTATAACAGCAGAAATATTTAATATAATAATTGTTGATAAAGTAACATCATTATCTGTTGATCAGTTATTTTCAATCACTTATTTAGTCATAAAACAAAATTTTTGTATGGTAAATGTATGTGAATTATTTACAGAAATTTAATGTATTGTATTGTTTTTTTGAGCAGAACTCTGCATAAGTCAAAGTGTTTTGTCTGTGATTGAAATTTAAAGCACTGCACAACTACTAAAGATGATTTTTTGCAAATACATACAACTCAGCAAGGCCAATGTTACAACAAAGCTGGAAATTTGAATTATGGGCCAAGATATTTGAGGTCAAAGTTTACCATGTAAAGTCTATTGGCCAATTGCTGATTATATAAGCAAAATATAAAATTAATCATTAATATAATAAGAATGACAAAATAATAATAAAAAAACAGCTGTTTCAAAATGAGAAATTTAGTAATAATGATTTTGATAATTTATAAATGTTTTGAAGGAGAACAGGGATTAAAAGCAAAATGAAAAAGTTAGTATTGTATGAGGAGTTTTCTTGTTCAAAGAAGTTCCTGTTAGCAAAGCAAATTAGACAACTAACTTGCTGCCAATTCTTAAATGTTTGTATCCTGTTGTTAAAGATTGTAACAAGCATACAATATTAGATGAATTATATATTAATTAATATATTAATAAATATAATTTATAAATTTTAAGGTATACAATTTTTAATTGTTCTAACATGTTTCTGTAATGTCAGAGTCAATAAAATCAAATTTCTACTAATCANAACAAAATAAATATATTGAAAAATATGAAAATAATAAAAAATTATACCTCAGATGTTAATTTAGTATCAAAAACGTAAAATATTTGAGTAGCCCAAGACATAGCCAAAGATTGAAGCGCCACAGCACTGGCGAAAATTTAAATTTGCCGACTGGAATTCTTTCAGATGATTGACTTTTGGAAAATCGACGCTCTACTGTATTTATATTATTTTGTATATTGTATATTGTAATGTTTTCAAATGAAATTTACGAATAAATGCTGAAAAATACATACATGCTCCAATACTCCAATGATTGTTATTTTTTAGGTTCAAACTAGTGCCAAGCTAAAAAAAGCTGATACAGTGCCTCTGAAAAGACTTCAACATGAAGTATGTGTTCCATAATTCTTCATAAATCATGTTCTCATTCAGGAACTTTAAAACAACAAAAAAGTTGAAAATACACATTGGTTACAGAATGTGATTTGGCAATTTAATCAAACTTTAAAACCATATTCTCTTGAAATAGTGGAAACGAGGCTTAGCACTATCTTCTCCTGACTCATTTCATTTTGAAATAAACAGAAAGAATATCTAAATTAGTTAGCACAAATAAACTATGAATATTTTCTATTAAAAAAATATTCTAAGTAATTTCAAACTTTTGTTCCAATATATTATTACAGAAGAAAATCATATCCTTGTATCAGTTCTTGATTTTCATAATTTTACAATTGTTTTTCTTTTCATGTTTTGTTTTTTGTTATTCTTGGCACTAGTTTGAACCTAAAGAATAACAATCATCATATATTGGAGTATTGGAGCATGTATGTATTTTTCAAATAGTTCAATATCTACATTTCAAATATTAATTTATAGTTTGTTACTTCATATATTTGTGAAAAAGAAAGTTGTTCTAACATTTAGATTTTAACACAAATTTTTAATTATCACAATATAATTTTTCATCATTTTAGGCAGATTAAATACAAATGAAGACAATGAAAATTTATTGGGGTATGATTTATACGGCAGTGCTTTAGCTGATATTTTAAGTGAACCAACTTTATCTATGCCAATTTGTGTTGGACTATATGCAAAATGGGGCAGCGGAAAATCATTTTTACTTAATAAACTTGAAGGTAAATCTAAATAATAATTTTATAAGACTTAACTAATCTAGAACTAATTCGTTGTAAATTAATTTATCTTGCAGATGAAATGCGTAACTTTACTTTTCAACGATTAGAACCAACATTTGAATTCTCCTGGCTTGTTAATTTGCTGTTGTTGTTGTTATCATCAACAGTTGGTTTTATTTTAGCATTTGCTTCTGGTATGTGGATTGTTGGTTTATCTGTGGGAAGTGGAATTTTATTTATGTCATATGTATTTTTTGGTAAGTAAATTCTTAATTATATGATTAATCTGTTTTAAAGTAATAGTTATTCAACTTACAAAATTATTAGCAAAACATTTTATATTTTGATTATAGAATGTTTACTTATTTATTTACTTTCAAATGAATACAGACAAAGCTTATAGTAAAAACAAAGAAAAATTCCACAGTATATAAAATAACATATCGTGATTAAAAAGACAATTATGAGAAGATGTTTATTCAATTTTTTTGTTAATGTCATTTTAAAAAGAATTATTACGTTAAAAATTTGTCACTTTTTCATAAAATTCATGAAAGTTAGATTTTCTGGTATATACCAATAAAGTTTAAGCATATATTTTCACTATTATTTATGCTAAAAGTTTTGAGTGTTTTCATTTTTTAATGAATTACAAAGATTTTCTTTGTGCATTTCTTTATAAATTTACAGATTATTGTTAATGTAATAATAATAAATTCAAGTTATTTTTAATTCTGTAAATAAATTATCATTTATACATTGTTAAATATTTAAAATATAGTTAACACAAAAATACAAAAAATTAATTAATAAATATTAAGTTTAATAGCTACAAGTTCAGCTATTAAGTGTTAGTTAAGTATTAGATGTAAATATTAAAAGTTTCAGTTTTTGATACTTTACAATTTTCAGTATGTAGTCTGTAACTCTATTAAATTTAACACATATCTGGCTAGATTTTCTGTAGTAGAATTGTCTTATGTATTAGGAATAACTGGTACATTCATTGAAGTGTTTAGGCCTATATAAATTAATGTTTCTGAGTTTTGTAAAAATTTTTTTTTGTTTATAAGGATGTATTTATGTTAAAATGTCATCAAATATTGTTTTTTAAAAATATAATCAATATTTTTTGTAATATATAAAAGTTTAAATTGCATTTTTTATGAACATTCAAGTTTCTTGGATATTTTAATAAACTTTGTTTACTAAAGAAATTGAAGAAAGAAATATATTATTTGTTATGAAAATAGCAAAATATGAATTAAATGTTGATAATGCAAATAAATCACTAATAATTTAAATTTTAGTGTAAATGTTGTGCAGGCCCATTGAAAGAAAGAAACCAAGTTCCATACAAAACATTTCTCTCTCAGTATTATCTAAAAATACTCAGACTTAAACTTAGTATATGGTTTTTCAACTTGCATAGAATCTTATAAGACTATATAAGTTGGGAACTGTATAAATAGAAAACTGAAAACATAATTAAAAGTTGATTTTTTATAAGAAGATAATAACTACCTCATTCAAAATATGTATTTAATTGATTTTGCATATGTTGAAAAAGTTCAGTTTTTGGTAGAAGTGATTGATGCATATAAAAGAATAGATTAATGTCAATGTCATAGTTTAACATTTATCAATATTATTAGAATAATTTTTAGAGAAATTCATTAATAAGTCAGTATAAGTGTTATTTTTTAAAATTTAATATTAAAATATAATATCATATTTATTATGAAATATATTTAATAATTGCATATTGATGAAAATTAATAGGTAAATACTGAAAATTTTCACTGATCTTAAATACATTTTTTTTAACAGTTATCATCACATTTGGTAATAAACTACATGATTGGGAATGGTCATTTAATGCCAGTGTATATTTTGCAGAACATTTATTAGCTATAAAAACTATGCTTCAAGTTATATTTTGTAATCCACCTGCATCTAGAAGAGATGCACATTTATCTCCTGTTAGGTAATTACTTTATTTGCAAGTATTTCATTGAAAACTAATTATTAAATTTGTTTATATTATAAATTTTTATATAAAATTAATTTATCTGCCCATCTAGGTTTCTTTTTACAGAACAGACAAAAGTTAGTAGTTCGGGAGAAGATGTATCTGTTGCGCAAATAATAACAACACTTTATTCTGCTATTGAACATGAATATGGATTTTTCACTACAAGGTTTTATAGAGTCTTTAAACCCAGAATGGGTAAGTTAATTTTTAAAAATTAATTATTTTTTCATTTAAGTGATTGTGAGAAGCCAGGGATTAGAGAGTAAAGCTCTAAACCAGGCCCTTTCCCGATGTCAGGACAGTAAGTCCCACTCAATTGTCACTGGATGGCTGTTTAATTGTATGCGTCTCAAGATTGTTAGATCTTGAGTACTGTTTTTCCTGACACCAGTTAGGATAGTTGAAGGTTGCATCATAACTCACAATTCTCATGCATTTTTGTTTTTATCGGAGGGCTGTATATCAAGTGGGTAGCGCCACAGGTAAGTTGATAGGGTGATCAGTTCAAACAATTGAAATCAATGCCAGTTTAACTAACTAACAAATTTAATAAACTAAAAGAAAAGTATGTAATACAAATATCCTGCTATATACTGACTAAAGCTAATATCTCAATTGACTGAGAGAGAGTACATGAATCTAACTTGGTCAAATACCTCTGATGAGCCGATGTCTTTGAGTCTAGTCTATGTGAAGTCTTCATCAGGTAAGGAGTCTTGTATGTAGATAAATTGGCTTGAAATGTGGCAAACAGGCCTTGGTCTATGGCTGCTAGGAGAAGGTTCATTTGAAGGATGGCGGGATGGGAGTCTTGGTCCATGAGCTTCTATGGTTGAGTCCACACCAAAGACCAGGTGTGCAGCCATTATATTCCAATCTGGTGTGGGAATTTGGTCTTATGACCATATGTTGTCTAGTGATGACACTTCAAATGTGTCATTGATGAGCTGGCTAGAGCTAGGTAGGAATTAGACTTGTTGTTCTCTTTTCATCGTGGAATTATTTAAGCCATTGATGTTCCTATGCATTAACAACTGAATAGTATTGACGATTTTGAATGATTGTTGATGGTTTGACTTAATGTTTACTCGTCTTTTATTTATCGAACTCATGGGAGATGAGAATACCATAAATCAGAAAAAACTTTTCTCCCACATCAGCGTTAATTGAACAATTAACTCCTGGATCTCACATAATAAATTTTAAACATTTTTACAATGAAACTTGTCTTTCATTGTAAATTAATGTTTTTTTTTTTTTTTATAGAATATATATAGAACATATATATAGAATATAATTTAATTCTAAGTTACAAAAGATTATTATAAATATGTTCAAAAGATTATTTGCATTAATAAAGTTAAAATCAATAACAGTTCAATGATGTTTTAACATTTTAATAAATCAGTGAAAAAAATCTTTTTATTAATTTTTTTATTATTTATTTTTTTTAGTGTCTGGAAGTAATTGGAAATATCGAAGATTATGTTGTATTCCAAATGTTTTTGTGGCACTCTTCATAGTAGTTTCTATTTATATTTGTTGCATATTGCTATTAGTTTCAGGAATTCAACAGGATTTCAAAATTTATAAGATCACAAATAGCACTGAAAATGAATATCCTAATTATTATCTTATGAAACCAAGTGTTATTGCACTTGGATGTATTGTAGGAGCTGTTATATTAACAAATATTCATACATGGTATAGAATGATAATAACTTTATTAGTTTCAAATTATCGTCGTGTTAAACTTGTGACATCTCATACTAGCAGTTACCTAGAAAAACTTAAAAATGAAGTAGAAACAATGACTTTAATGGTGAGTTAAATATTGATTAAATAAAATTTCTGTAGCAGTTTTCAATTTAAAATTGTTGTATTAATTTTATTTTATTAAAGGTTCAGTGCATGGATGCATTTGTTGGACAACAGACAAGATTAGTAGTAGTAGTTGATGGTCTAGATAGTTGTGAGCAAGAAAAAGTGTTGAAAGTTCTGGATGCAGTGCATTTATTATTTTCTGATCCAAATTTACCATTTGTTACTATTCTTGCAATAGATCCACATGTTATCATTAAGGTAAGAAAGATTTGTAAATTTAATAATAGTTGAATAAATTATTAATGATTCTTTGAATATATTATTAAGGTATAACTAAGTTAAAATTTATTAAATCTATATAATAGTGCTTTTAGCATAAAAAATAAATATACAGTAGAGTGTTGTTTATCTGAAAGTTGGTTATCCAAAACATCGGTTATCCGAAAGAATTCCAGTCAGCAAATTTAAATTTTCACTAATGCTGTTGCACTGCAATCTTTGGCTATATCTTGGGCTACTTTAATATTTTTTTGTTGGTGTGTGTGTGCTTTAGCTGGCAGCACTGGCACTTTTGTGTGGTGTTTTTCTGAGGACTGTGTGTCGTGCTGAATCAAACAGTTTTGATACTAGATTAACTTCTAAAGTATAATTTTTAACAATACAATAGCCACGATTATTATTTTAAAAAGTTTACATTAGGCTTAACAGCGACGAAAATTCAACGCGAAGTGACATGCAACAGAGAAAAATTTCAACATGGGATAGGTTAATATATTTTTTTGTACATAATCGGTTATCCGAAAAATAAGTTATCCGAACAACCTCAGTCCCCAATTGATTTGGATAAACGATGCTCTACTGTATTTATATGTTTCAAAAGGAAGTTCTTTGGTAATTGAGAACAAATAATAGTAAAGTGTTAATGTGTGTTGTTATTTTTCAAGCTAATTGTTTTTTTTAATTAAAACATAACCATACAATTTTCTTCTATATACTTACTAATCATTCTTTTTGCAGTTAATTGATAAATTTACCAATTTATATGATACAGTAATCCCGCCATTTATGCAGTCTCTATTTACATAAATTCACTTCAGCATGGTTGAAAAATGAATAATAATCAACTTTGTGGAAATAAATGATAGTTACATGAAAAAGTGTTTTTTTTTTAAACAACAGTAACCTCTTATATAGATGTATATCTAGAAAAAAACTTTAGTCAAAACTTTTCTACACTAGTAAGAATAAAATACTGTATTTGAGAATATAAGATTCCTATTTTAAACAGTTTCCATGACTCCGTTTATGTAGTTTTCATTTATGCTCCATATTTCATGGAACCAATGATTTGTCCTAATGGAGGGATTACTGCATTAATATAAAATTCTTAATTTTTGTTAATTGTGAAAATACATTGATTAAATGTTTGCTTACTTAGGGGTGTATGTGTGTGTGTTTTTTTGTAATATTTGTATAAAAAATAAAGATTTTTAGTATTATGGATTTCTGATTATTTTTTTCAGGTTATTATTTATACACGATTTTTATTTTATAAAATATAATTAATATGGAATTAATTAAATAATAATAATTGCACAAAAAGTCATATTTAAATTACTATATGTATAATGACAAATTCAAGATTGCTATAGTCAAGCAGTTATATGGAAAAATTGCATTTTACTGCAAATACCTTTCATTGGCTTCTGAAATTTAACCTTAACAATAAAAACCATTGGCTGTGGATTAATACATTTTAGCTTATAAGCAGAAGCAATTTACTATTTTATATTTAGGAAAAAAATTAAAAGTTTTCTGAAAAAGTTTAATGAGTAAACATTTGCATTGCTCATAAAGTGTTTCTAGAAATTCTGGTGTTAAATTTTTTTCTTCAAGAATAATATAATTTTTTTACACTAAATAAAGAGTATTCTATAGGGATTTACTATTACTTGATCATAAACATGCTCTTTTCATTTTTCAAATATAAATTTAAACTAATTCTCATGGTGTTTAAAATAATTGGTATTTTCAAAAATAAAAAAAAGAGATAATAATAATAATTATTATTTTTTTAATTTTTAGACAATTTAGTTAAATATAAAAGTAGTTTTTAAGATAAACTATAAATTGGTCTGATTAGAAAAAGTAGTTAAAATTTTATATATTAACTTTTCTAGTATTAATTTAAAATAAATAGCATTTGTCATTTTTGTATATCATCTGGCTCTAAAATAATGAAAATTATTTATATATGTTTTATTATTAAATATTAAACTTTTTATAAAGTTTTTAAACATTTCTCTATGAATATAAATAAGAGTGTCATAACATAATAAAAAAATAATTTTTTTTTTAAACACATATATCAATATCTCTTATGAAGGCATGAGAACTTTGTATTAAAAATTTATGAAGTACAGAAAATTAAAAACTTAATAAACATTTTCAGTTTTTTCCATTGTTTATATAAGCTTTAATAAGCAAAATATAAAATTAATCATTAATATAATAAGAATGACAAAATAATAATAAAAAAACAGCTGTTTCAAAATGAGAAATTTAGTAATAATGATTTTGATAATTTATAAATGTTTTGAAGGAGAACAGGGATTAAAAGCAAAATGAAAAAGTTAGTATTGTATGAGGAGTTTTCTTGTTCAAAGAAGTTCCTGTTAGCAAAGCAAATTAGACAACTAACTTGCTGCCAATTCTTAAATGTTTGTATCCTGTTGTTAAAGATTGTAACAAGCATACAATATTAGATGAATTATATATTAATTAATATATTAATAAATATAATTTATAAATTTTAAGGTATACAATTTTTAATTGTTCTAACATGTTTCTGTAATGTCAGAGTCAATAAAATCAAATTTCTACTAATCATAATGGTATCACTCTGTTATTGTTATCAATTTAGATGACTCCCAAAGTGATTGCATTAAGTGAATTCTACTGTATAACAAAATAGTCAACTTATTTCTTTTCTTAGATTACATCATGCAAATTTAAATTTACAAGATGTTTCAGTTTGATATTCAATCAAACTTCATTAGAACCTGATGATAATCACTAATGCCTACATTCACAAATGAAGGATCAAAAATTAGAGTTAGAAGTTAAACAATAAGCATGTACTTAAAAGTAAAGTGAATAGTAATTGAGTAATTTCTAATTCTAACTCTTAATTCTTGATTTTGAATACAGCCTCAAGAGTGATCAAAAATATGTTTTCTATTAAATAACCTGCTGATTGGAAATAAGTTGGTTTTATTACTTTTTTAAACTTGAAAATTTTAATAAGTTATAACAGCAGAAATATTTAATATAATAATTGTTGATAAAGTAACATCATTATCTGTTGATCAGTTATTTTCAATCACTTATTTAGTCATAAAACAAAATTTTTGTATGGTAAATGTATGTGAATTATTTACAGAAATTTAATGTATTGTATTGTTTTTTTGAGCAGAGCTCTGCATAAGTCAAAGTGTTTTGTCTGTGATTGAAATTTAAAGCACTGCACAACTACTAAAGATGATTTTTTGCAAATACATACAACTCAGCAAGGCCAATGTTACAACAAAGCTGGAATTTTGAAATTTGAATTATGGGCCAAGATATTTGAGGTCAAAGTTTACCATGTAAAGTCTATTGGCCAATTGCTGATTATATGCTACATATCAATTGAGTTTCCAATTTACATTGATCTCTACAACAGTTTTTAATTTAGATCAGTTTTAAATCATTTTTTTGTCAGTTTTATTTTTTCCTAAAAAATACCTAGTATTAATTTTAATATTGGAATGAATTCAAACAATAAAGCAACAAAGTAATTACTTTTTATCTTTTTTATGATTATTTTTTTTACAAAATATCATTTTCTGACTTTTCTAACTTAAATTAAATTTTGTGTATTATATTTAATAGATAAATTATAAAACAGTGGTTCCCAAAGTGGGTGCTGCCACCCCTGTGGGTAGTGAATAAATCTGGGGTGGGTGAAAAGAAATAAGTGGGAAGCAGGGTACTTAACAGTGACCATAGGTGAGAGTTGTCACTGACAACTTTCCCCTTTTTTCTGTTAAAACAGGTAAGAAGAAACATTGCATTTAATGGTTTCTAGATGGGGAGGAAAATGTATGGTAAGGATACAAAGTGTGAGGTTCATAGAAAAGTTTTCCTAAGAATATTTCCAAGCCTTTCTCACACAGGGGAAAGTGAGTTAGGGGACATTGGGTATAAGTTTATGGAACTAAGAGTTGCTCAAAAAAGTTTGGGAATCACTCTTATAAGACATAATTTTGAATTATATTGTATAAAAATTAATACTATTATAAATAATACTAAGTGAATTATTTTAGAATCAAAATTCTTTCATTTCTTGGTATAGGTATTGTTTCAGAAGAATTTTAAAAATTAATGTCAAGCTTGATGAATTCAGATGACTAGAAATTTTAATATTAGGAAATGTGTTCAAATGAAGGAAATGTGTTCAAAATGTGTAATGAAGGAAATGTGTTCAAAATGTTTTTAGAATATTAATTTTTTTATTGTGTTGTTGAAAATTCTGCAGTTTTCATTTAAATTTACAGTTTATTATTAATTGTCTTTGTTTTATTCTTCAAATTTAAAAAAATGTTTTTATTGATATAATATATAGATTTGTTTATTTTAAACTAAATTTCAAAAAATGAATATGACATATCAAAATATTTTTACTTTGCTTGATATTTTCTTAATGGAATTTAACATAATGAAATTCATTTTATTTATAAGTTACAAAAAAAACAATATTACATAACTGAACTGTGCCTTTTATTATACAACACATTATGAATATTTTCAACTAGATAATTTCCCTTGACTTGTTAATTTCTACAAGTCAAAGAAATGAATTAAAGAAGAAAGAACTAATTGAATGTTCAATTAATGTTAACAATAAGATGCAATGAGTTTATTGTGGTAGTGGATGCAGGAATAAGAGAAGCAAATAATATATTGTGTTTTGTCATACTTGAATAAATATAAAATGACTGTTCTATTTTCTATATTTTTAAATCAAAATTAGACTATCAAAAGAAGAATTAGTTAATTTTATACAAATAATATATAATACATTCTGTTAATTCAGCCTCTCATTTATATGTCATACCCCTCGTTACTGTATGAATGGCAAACATGGTACACGGAATGATTTTCAGTGGCACTCTGAATAGAAATGTAGTAAAAATTATGTTTTAATTATCAATTAA